TCAGTATAATCTGAAATTTCTTGAAGTATAAAACAGAGTTATACAGTTATGCAGTTATAAAATATATAACTGGATTTTTAAAATAATATTTATTTGAGTACATGTGGCTCATGACTGGATGATAAACAGCCCTCACCTATAGGAGAACAATTTGAGCTTGACTGCTGGGAAATCACTTCCTGGTCCCTGTCATAAGAAATTAAGGACCTTTTTAGTAATTTTTAATAAAATATCTCAGTGAGATGCACAAGGAGACATTTTGGAGAAGACCTTCAGGTTGTGGAGGAGGTGGCAGGGAGAGTTAAATGTTCTAAAATTGGTAAAGGACATCTCTGTAACATACTTTAACTAGAAAGGAGAAGCGTTGCTTCAAACACAACAGCTTCACCCCTACTCAGTAGTGGAGGAGGTGACACAATGTCACTTTTAGCAGAAGTGTGAGACAGATGTCTACAGAGGGGGAAGGGAATTCAATCGTTGGGAGAAGGCTTCATATTTTAGAGCTAAATTTAACCAATGTCAAGGAATTGTCTAAGGTGTGCTGGGGTTTGCTAGGTTTCTCTAGGTGCTTTGGAATGTGCAAAAGTGAAACCAAGGCACCAGGTCTGGCTCAGCTGGAGCCACATTTGTGGTTGCTGGATTGAAGAAATAGCTGCAGCTGAGAGGCAAACCTGTCTCCTTCCCATTCCTGTGTCACTCACCCAGCCCTGACTGGCCATGCTTTTGGATGTTACCACACTCTGGCTGATTTTTCATTTCACTGCTGGAGTCAGCCACACAGCAAAACTAGGAGAATTAGAATGAAAGACAGTGTTAAAATTGTGGACTGATGGAATTGGCATCTTCTTTTCAAATGAGCGCATTGCTACCCAGAAGCAACGTGTATTTAGGTGCCAATTAGTAACGGGCCAAGTGAAGTGAGTCCTTGGCACGAGAGCTGCTGGCTCTGCTGACATGGAAAGGAGCTGCCTGCACCCTTGGCTGTGGTGTTTGTGGCTCATATGTCTGCATAAACATATCCAAATAAAGAAAAAAAAAAAAAAGCCAGCATTATTGACAAAGCAAAGGCCAGTTCTATTTATATCTGCAGTAAGGCTGCGATAATGAAGATGCTTTAATGTGTCTCAGAGCCTAGATGAAACACTGAAAATGTTGCTTTTAAGAAAAAAATTATAATAATATCCCCTTGAAATCCCGAGGAAATGTGTGTGGCGGACTTCTGGAGAGCAATATCAAAGAAATAGGAGTTGCAGAGCATAGGGAGTTACTACAGTTATGGGCTTTGAATTGGCTTAAATCTTTGCTTTTAAGTTTTTTTCCCCCTAAGGATCTCTTTAAAAGTAACACTTTATTGACAGGGAGAATGTTTTACTGCCACTGAACTCCAGCAACAGTGCAGATCTGTCAGACCTTGCCTTACTTAGGAGTGTAAATCCTTTCTCTGTGGTTGCTTCTGCTGTCTGGCCCCTTTTATGAGTGTCAGACTCCTAGGGGGGCTGGGAGAGGCAGTGTGAATGTCTGCAGAGGGGGACAGATGGGTAAGAATGTTCTTTCAACACAGAATTTGGAGCTTTATAGTTAGGAAAGACATTTTTCTTTTCTGAAAGTCTTTTCAGGGCTTCCAGGGTTGTTGGGTTTTGTTGAGGCAATTGGAAAATGGGAAAAAAAACCCCATTTACTAAAAATATCATCTGTCATTTTATCCTGTTGCATCTTTGACCAGCTTGAATCAACTGGTTGTTTCATGGCATTGAGCAGGTTTAAAATACGGCTCTAGGAGCAGAAAATGCCCTCGAGCATTGCTGAGCACGTGTGCAGGTGTCATAGCTTGTCTGGTGGCACTGTCCCTTTCTCCAAGAAGCCTCATCGTAGGTAATTACTTTCACCTTGTTAGGAATTTGGGTAAATGGCTGCAAAAATCAGCACTAACCAAGCAGGACTCGGGGCCAGAGCCCATCACATCCCTGGTCCTCTCTCTTAGGAACCCTGAGATCCTCAGCCAGACTGTGCTCCAAAACCAATACATGCCTGATGCATTTTAGAATAACCTTTCCCAGTCAACATATGCTTTGTTTCTAGCTTGATTTTTTTGTCTACTTCTACTAGATCAGATTGCTATTCTTATTTAGTTAATTTGATAATAACAAGATATTGTGAAAATCTCACATGGTAGAAGAGGTGGCCAATGACCATATAGAAATGGGAACTGATTTTTAACTACATCATCCAGAAGAGTTAAATGAAGGCAATAGACTATAAAGCTTAGGCTATTTGTTGAAGTTGAAAAGAGATCAGGTTTTCGGTTGTAGAATTTGGTTTTTGAAGCATGAATGATGATATTCACCCTTTGTCCTTGGAGCAGGGAACATGCTTTGTGGAGCATGTGCAGCCCTGTGCATGCTGTTGGCACTCACCAGATAACTGTGATTAACAATGCACAGATGCACTGGCCATTGCTTTCAGGTGGTCAGGCCAGGTGGAAGGAGTATGAAAGAACTTATGACGGACAGGTATTCACATGTGAGTTAAAAGATTGAAAGGAAAAGAAATTCTGGTTTATCTGGGTAATTAAAGGCACACTCTGCAGAGGAAAACAAGCAAAAGCATACGCAATGCATGCACAGTTTGGAAGGCACACGACTTCAGCTTGCTGAGAGGTGTAAAGAGTAAAGATGGGTTTTCTACCTTCCTTTTGTCCCTTGGGTGCCTATTTGCAAATACAAATGGCCAGGTGTGTTTGTATTATTTATGTTAAAAGAAGATGAAGGTTGTAAGGAAGAGAACCTTGAAGCTAAGACACTCCAGGATTGCCACTGCTCCTGCAGTCTCTGTGTTGGCCATCCAGGCTGTTTTATGTTCCCTCTGTCCCCAAGAGAGCTGCACAAGAAGGGCTGGCAGGCTGGCCACGGGACACTGCCTGCACTGCCACCTGCAGAGGTGCACAGCTGCCACGCTGCTCTGCTGCCCACAGGGCACAGGGAGACACCACCTCCCAGCACTTCTGGTATCCCTGGAATCCTCACAGCCCCTCTGGCAGGTTCCTGGGAGCCATGCAGTGCCCTGGGCAGCTCCCAGCAGGGCAGGAGATGAGGAGATGCCCACATACATTAAGTGGGTTGTTGGAAAAGCAGGAGCACCAAGTCAGTGTGCTCACAGAGGCACCTCGAGCAGGCAGTGATTAAGTGGCTGTCAGGGTGTTCTGGCTGCCAGCCCGTGGGTGCCTGGCCCTGAGCCCCAGAGATTCCCTCATTGGGCAGGATCCATGGTCCTGCAGTCAGCTGAAGCTTAGCACTCCCTACAGGGCCTGAGCTGCCACATTCCCCACTCAAATTCAGCGCCACCATCCTCATCTCTGGCTGTTCAGTGTTTGCTGTTGCAGGGGAAGATCAGGAAAATCCAGATTCCTTCTTTCAACTGTGTAAAGACCATTCCAGACCCCAGTTACATCCCTCTTTGTCCTGATGCCGGGCAAACAAAGCTGTACAGACCCTCTTTAGCTAGGAGATGCTCTCTCTGGCTTGTTTTTCACACCCACTACCCAGCCAGCCCCTCTTGCGACTGGGTTGTATCATTGTCTCTCTGATTTCCTGTTGTCAGATGGGCTGATTTTAATTGGTTTGCATTTTCAGTTGGTTTTCAGTTCATCAGGAAGGATAAAATAAAATCCTGCCCTCCATGCTCCTCTCTATCCACCGTAGCAGCACCAGCTGAGCATGTTAATCTGAGGAGCAGTGCAAGCAGGGCTTGCTCCCTGTGAAGTGTTTGGAGGCTGGCTGTTAAGCATTACATTATTCAAAATGCATTAAATTGTCTTGGATGAGGAGGAAGCATGTCTCGATCATCAAGCTGATGGACATTAGCAGTCTTCCACCACAAGTTTGCTAAATTTGAACTAGGTTTAGCTACTGCCTGCTTCATTCCTATTCTGCAAGGAAAGCTGTGGACAGGGAACTGGCAAGGAATATGAGGCATAAATTCGAGGTACCCACAACTTATACTGAAAGCCTTATATAAATCCTTGGGATTTCTAGACTTTGGAGAAATGCAATTGGCATTACTGCCTTCTGTTGACCCAGCAGGAAAGTTTAACCGGTACTCCAGGATACAGATTCTTGACAGTCTGGAGGTGGCTTTGAGATCTGAGGGTGGCTTAAATGTTACTGGTGGGGAAGAGCAAGAAGGGGAAGTAACACATTTCTCAGCATTTCAAGGTTTACAAAGCTTGTGTGCTGAGCTAGAGGCTGTTAGGGTTTGCTTAGTCTCAAAACAGGGAAATCAGGAAAAAATAGAGATGGGTGACAGGCAGTTAACCAGTGATTTTTTTTTTTCAGCTTATTGCTAATATTTGTATTTGCTGTCTTTTAGGAAAATTCAGATTTTGAATATTTGACTATTGATTCATAAAAGATTTTGTAATTACTATTTATATCCCTTCTTTGAGCATTTCCGTTGGCAGTCACTAGAATGTCATGGTCTCCTGTATCATAGACCTGCCATCGCCACTGTGAAAAACACACTCCTGCCTTGCTGAAAACTTGTAACAAGCAAATGCCAGCCCTTCCTAGCTGCAGTTAGTGTAAAAAAAAACAAAACAATGCAGAGGATTTGTGTGAAGAGGAGAGGCTCCGTTGGCATCTGATGGATGAGCTGGGATTTCCCATCCTCCTTCTGGCTTGGTAGCAGAGCTGCACACGGGCGGATAAACCCAGCACAGAACAGGAGCTAAGGCTGGGACAGGCACACACCATTGCTCATTCCGAGGCTGCCAGTTACTCAGCAATCAGTAGAATAAATATCTGAGATTTGCTTCTCCCTCCTCAAATGTTTTGTCGTTTGGTCTTTGTTCAGGGGCAATGTATCTCTCTCCGAGGTACCTCGACTTTTTTGATCTGTTGGCCTTAATCAGTTACAGGGTGTCATTATACCTCTAAGCCAGCTAAGCCCAAGCAGCTCAGTCTTGCCAACATGACTCTTCATTTCCCTCTTTTCATCTCTCCCAGAGGTCAAAAATAGCTGTCTATGAGAAAATGTGGTCATACATGAAGTCGGCCGAGCCCTCGGTGTTCACCAAGACGACGGCGGACGGGGTGGCCAGGGTACGGAAGTCCAAGGGCAAGTTTGCCTTCCTGCTGGAGTCCACGATGAATGAGTACATCGAGCAGCGCAAGCCCTGCGACACCATGAAAGTTGGAGGCAACCTGGATTCCAAGGGCTATGGTGTAGCAACCCCCAAAGGCTCAGCATTAAGGTGGGTGGAATAATATAACAATATCCATGTTGTTATAGTATTCCACCTACCCTGATGTATTGTGTTGTCATTTTCTTTCTTGTGGATTTTGAGGTAACTTAAAAGTTTAAAATCTTCAATATTCCATGGAGTTAAATAAGACGGTAAATTATGGTTTCATTTATTTAATGCATCCATTTTTTTGTGTTCTCTTCGTGTTGTCCTCTCTGATTGTTTGTTGCTGTTTTAATTTTACAGTTCAATGGCTTTTTCAATTTAAATGGTAAAAGCCAAGTTAACCTGCCATATGTGACGAATGTTAACTGCATGATGTGGTGTTGTTACTTTTTTTCTCAAAGACGATTTCCCCATCCCGCACACTTCAGTTTTGAGCAAATGTTATCCTCCATGCCACCTTCCAATATTTAACCCTGTATTTGCTGTACAGACATTTTGATAGCTCCACGTTCTGTGAAATTTTAGCCAATTTGTCCTCTTGTGCTCCTTTTTTTATACGTTACGATTTCCTAAGCATTTGTGCATTTTTTCTTACAAGTTATGTTTTATCGTTTCAAGAAATGCTGTTAACCTGGCAGTATTAAAACTGAATGAGCAAGGCCTCTTGGACAAATTGAAAAACAAATGGTGGTACGACAAAGGAGAGTGCGGCAGCGGGGGAGGTGACTCCAAGGTCAGCCTCAATGTCACCACAATCGGGTACCTTAGCAAAGAGTAATCGGCAAGGCTGTTATTTTGCTTCTCAAGAAAAAAAAACCAAAAAGAAAGCAGATGAAAATTATTTCACTAATTGTGGTGGGGAAAAAAAACGCGATTTTCTTGTTCAGTAGCTCTTTCAAAGAAACAGTCTTATTTAATATCATCAGCGGGTTTGTTCGAGCTTGGAAACCTTATTTAACTAACAGATAGAAAATCTAGTGTTTGTGGGACCTACGCAGAGCAAGTCAGTGAGGTAACCATACAAGAAACCAATGATCAGCTCTGGTCACTGTCCCAGCCCTTGAGAGCAAGGGTTTATGAGACTTCTTTTTGCCAGGACCAGCTGTGACAGCACAGACCTGGAGGTGAAAGAGCTCCTGTTTCCTTTGGCCTTCTGGGAAGATTTTGGAAATGTTACCTGGCATATTCAAATGTCACCTTTTGTACAGCACTCCAGTGCAGGAGTCCTGTATCTGTGTTTGACATGCCTTTGATACAGACGTGGACTCAAATCTGCCTCCAGTGGCAGCCGTGGCAGCCTTATCACTGCCTTCTGCTGAGCTGAGGCTTCCCCCAGCCTTCCAGGCAGCCTGTACTGCACCTTCCCAAAGTTGCTTCAGTGGGCTCATGTATTGCAAATGTATGCTTTCCTCTTGCCAACTTTGTCCTGTAGGACTGGCAGTCCTTTTCTGCAGTCTTTAACCCAGCGAGGATAAGCTATAGCTAGAGTTGGCTGGGTGTTGTTGGTCGCTGTGGGTGCAGGAATTACCAAGAAAATTAATTTAAATGACATTGTTGTACTGAAAAGTACTGAAATTCATTTTTATAGTGACACTCTCCTATATCTAGTAAAACCAGATCTTTAGGGAGCAATAACTCCTAATCTCTCCAATAAAAATGCTTCAGATTTGGTCCAAAATCAATAATAACAGTAAACTGCAGTTTCGGACAATTACTGCAAATTACTGCTACAATCTATTCATAAGAGTTGCATACAGTTGGCTGTATAGGAAATTGCTCAGCTCGTCATGTCTACTGCTAGCAAAAGCCACTGTGTAATATTAAAGGAAGGAAAAACTCTTGAATTTGGATTGATTCAGTAACTGGAGGTCTGCAGTGCTCAGCAGCAGCCTGGAGATGAGCAGAAGCTTTTTTATGCTTTTTAGCTCTGCTGCTCATCCTTCACAGAACATTTTTATATGTCATATTTGCCAGTATATTAAATGTTTAATATCCTCCTGGGATCCAGCACCTCATTGTCTAGTGCTGCCTCCCTGAAAGAAAACTCTTCATACAAACCAGCTTCAATGAACTTCATTGCTTCAAGTTCACTGAATTAAACCCAGCCAGTAGCCCTAAGGAAACTAAGGAGGGCTTTTTAAATGGTCACAATTAGGGCAGGGCCATCCTTCTGTTTTGCTGGAAGATGTTTTACAAAGAACAGTGCTGTCTGTTTAGCAGGCCCTTGGCAGTGTTGAGGGAGTGGAGTCTGGGGTGCTGTGCTGATATGAGTTGGTACTCAGAGAAGAGGGAAGGGGAGCAAACACAATAATGTGTGTTTTGCTGGTTTAGTCCCAAGTGACGTCTGTCTGCAGTTTGTTGTAACACGCTGTGGTGAAGGACTTGTTTGAGCTATAGTCAGCAGCTCTTGGGGCACAGCTCAGCTGGCAGAAGTCCCCAGAGAGGAGCACATGGGATGTAGAAGACCTCCCACAGAAGACCAAGCTGAGGGAGGCGGGGAAGGGGTTAGTGGCTGTTTCTAGAGGTGTGGTAAATCAAAGGGCTTTTTTGTTACGAAGTGGCTTTTCCTTTGAGGTAGTTCTGTAGGCCCTGAGCCCTGCAGACTGCAGTGTGGCTCCGTTGTGGCAGACAGGCAGAGCCTTCCCAGCACACCCCATCACTGGCCAGGCCCTGCCCCAGCCTGGCAGGAGCCCCACGGCCCTCTCAGGAAAGATGAGCTCTGGTGCTGCCCCTTGTGCACTGCAGCTCCGAGAGTCTTGCTGGCCTATCTCTCCTCACTGTCCTCCCACCAGAAGTTGCCCCCATCATCTCATCCCATCTTTCCAGTTAATTGTTTATATGAGCACGGATTCATTTGTAGGTCATTCAGAGGAGTCGCTGCAAAACTGTTATTTTTTTCCCTTTTACCTTAAAGGAGGTGGCAGCTGGGGGAATCAGGAATGGGGTGGTGAAGGTGCCTGAGGAGCAGATACAGACCTTGCCCTCCATCTCAACCATTGCTCACTCGGGGCAGCTCTCTCTACCGGCTGAGCTGACAGACTCCTCTCTCAGCTTCCCCAGTAGAGACCCGGGCTTGGGAAATCGCTGCCCCCGAGTCAGCAATCAGCCTCCCCCCGCCTCCTGACAGTGGGTTCTGTAATGGCTTGTGTGTGGATGTGAGTCACGTCAGACTGGTGGTGCTGGTTTCTTAAGCCGAATTCCTCTGTGACTCTGATACTTTAGCTCTTGCTGAAAGCCAGAGGTGAGTATGAGCCTGTTTGCTTGTGCCAGTGCCCATCGTTGTACTGCAAGGACCCGGCCACCCTCCCCTGCTCGTCCTCCCTGCGGCCTCGCGTGCGGTGTGCCTGCGCTCGGAGAGGAATCGTTCTGAGTTGTGAGTTCGTCTCTTGTTATCCTATCTTACCGCCTCTGGAAAATTAAACAGTGACTTCCATTTTCTCAACGATTTTGAGGCTTGCAGCAGGAAAAAGAAAAGGTATTCCATTGGTTTTCTGCAGGTTTTGAATCTGGTGGTTTACAGAGAGTGTGAGGTTAGGCCTGTGGGCATTCCGTGCTCCTGAGGTTCACTCCATTCAAGGCTAAAGAGATTGTGACATTTTAATGAGTTTGTTTTAAAGGCCTCAGCTGGCATGTGTCTTGTTTTCAGTGATACCAGTCTGTGCCAGCACTGGTGTGGAGCAGAGGGTGCCAGTGTTGGTACTGCCCTGGCAAAAGGAATGACCCAGTTTCAGTAGTGGTTTTTATTTAACAAGTCTGAAGGGGAATATGCTCCATCCATACATAATTTCCCTGGGATGCATGTCAATACATGTGGGCTGACTTGGCTGATGCAGACGTTCTGGTACATGCATCAAAACTCATTCACTTAGCCCTTCTAAATGAGCTTGAATTTCGTTTCATGGCAAAATTATTCTCTCTTCAAATGCTCTTATACATGCAAGCTGAGCTCTCAATCATGAGAGAATACAAAATAGCAATTGTAAAAAAAACATATTCCAGGAAATATGCTGCAGTGTATTACAAGTTTAGAAACTAATTATTTTGTTTATTATACAGTCCTATAATCTTGGAGCTGAGTTATGGCTGAATAGGGATTTAACAAGAATTGGACAAAAGGGGATGCAGACGGCGGTCACAGCCTGAGTGACTTAAGTGAAACTAATTATTCACTTGCATAGGAACAATTTCCTGCTAAGATAAATTTCCATAGTTCTGCTGTTGATAAATTTCTTGTATTCTTATACCTTCATGGTAACATTTAATGACAACCAACATGGAAGGAGAATGTTTGAATGCAGCTTCTCACCAACTTCACCTGCCAAGGTTCCCTGCTAATTATTTGACTTAATTTATTTAATATATTCTTTTTTAGGCTGATACCTCTTTTGGAGCGCATCAGAGAAATTACATGCAATGTAATATTATTTAATTTCCCAATTGTTTCTTTTTTATCATAGAACTACTTTTCCAGTGTGCTAGTTGAGTTCTGCCCTCAGAGCTGTGCTCCATACAATATTCCATTCCCAAGACCTTTGGAGCTGTGAGTGTGGCCATTAGCAGATGGGATCTGTTCCCCCGTGTCTGTGTGCTGTTTTGCTTTGATACATTTTCAGCACAGCCGTTAGCATTTGCAGCATAATTTTTTTAAGTGGCATATTTTTAGAAGAAATCTGTTATGCTTTATTTTAGATGATACCTGATGCCTAACGAGCACCATTGCCAAACACGTCGTGCATAAAAGAGAACATTTGGGGAAATGGCTATCTTAAAAAGATGCAGCACGATTTATTTGAACCATTTGTTTGAAATTATGTTCATCAGCATGAATTTCCTTGTCATCCATACTATAGGCCTGCGTTATGAGCTGGAAAAAGATAAAATGGCTGATCAGAGCCAGTGACAGTAACACAGAGCTAATTCATGCTCAGAGCTGGGAAAGTAATATGAAATTACTGTATTGTGCAAATTAGTGACAAAGCAAAATAATGCTTTAAAAGGAAGACACCAGGATATTGGTTTAATTGACAGCTATTACTTTATAGCATATTAGGAAATAATATTGTGTATGTTTTGTGGCAGTGATGAAGTCTTAATGCTCTAGGAGTTCATTGGAGCATCTCAGAGCACTGCCAAGAAGGGCAGAGAGCCTGCTCTGGTTTGCAGAAACAGCAGTGCTGTTGTGCAGATTGTTGAGGGTATTTTCCTGGAAATGGACTTGGGAGAAGCAGCACGATAATTTGGGAAGAGTAGGTTGCCTACACTGGGAAGGAGTTGGTGGGGTCAGAACTGGTGATGTCCAAGAATTTGGAACTGTTTAGTTTTGCCAATATAACCTTTAGCATCATGGAGACTGGCTTTGCTGCCTTGCCAAAGCCAACTCAGCACCCGAGTGTGCAAGGAGACCTGTTTGTGCAGCATTAATTGTGGCAGACCTGGGGCTCCTGCCTGGATGCCATGTCCTGCCTTTATGGCCACAAGAAATCTTAAAGACTTGTTAATTGTGCACTCCTTTTCATAATATTTGTGGTGCTTAACAGTTAATTTCCACAGATTGCTTACATGAGTCATTTATCCTGCACTGCAAGTATCAGTATGGGAAAAGTCAAGGCAGAAGGCTCTGTGGTACTGGAAAAGGAAAAAAGGAAAATCAGCAGCTGGAAGTGGAGCTCTCAGCAGCAGGAGCAGGGCCCTTCCTTTGTATGTCTCCCTGGGGGTCTGGGCTTGGTTGTTTCT